GCTGCTGCTGCTGCTGGCGGCGGCTGTGGCGGCACTGGTGCTGGTGCTGATGATTTCGGTCGTGGTATTGGTGTTGGCAGTGGTCACGCTTACACTGGACGTGCTAAGAGTGCTTTGTCTTGACGAGCTTGTTGTGCTGATGGTTGCAAAGGGCGTCCATGTTGAACTAGATGTGCTGGTGCTGCTTCCTGTCTCTCTCTCAGGCACTGTTGTGCTTGTGCTGCTTCGGCTCGTGGTGGTCGAGCTTGTTGTCCTGCTAAGGCTAAGCGTGGAAGTCGTGCTGGTGGATGCTGATGAACTTAACGTTACTGTCGATGTCGAGCTTAGGCTAGACTCGCTGGAGGTGCTAGTCATGCTCCCTGTCGTTGATGCAGAAACCGTTGTGCTACTGCTAGTTGCCGTGGAGGTGGTGACGGTTAGGCTTGCACTGGCCGTGCTCGTGGTGCTTTGGCTTGTGGTAACCGAGCTTGTTGTGCTGGCAGTGCTAGTCGTAGAGGGTGTGCTAGTTGATGTTGCTGTGTGGGTTGAACTTGCACTCAACGTGCTGCTGCTCGTTGTCGTGCCCACTGAAGTGCTACTGCTGGTTGTAGTCGTGGTCGAGGTGGATGTGGCTGTCGTTTCAGAGCTCGTGGTGCTCGTCACGCTAGTCGTGCCTTTGACACTGCTGGTGCTTGTCATGTTTTCTGCGGTTGCAGAGCTGGCTATTCTTCTGGTGTTCGCCCGGGACTCTGCGCGTGCTCTGCGACCAGTTTTTGCAGCGGTTTGGGATGATCTGGCGTTGGTTGGGTGTCCAGTTCCGACGAACTCTTCAGCATTTTCAGCTGAAGTCGTGCTCCAGAGTGTCCACGGGGCATTGCTTGCGCTGTCGGCTGCAAGGTTTGAACCAGTCTCATTGTCGCCCACGCATGGCGGCAGATGTAGCACTCCCTCCTCAAAACAAGCATCAGGATCTTGTCCAACTTCCAGCACGAGCTGCCCTGCCACATGACCTATAATCGCTTCCTGCAAGGCCCTTACTGTCCTGGCAGTGAACATTGAAGGATGCCACAAGCCCTGGCCCGCATACTGCCTCTCAGAAAACTCAAGCTTGTCAGCAGGCATGGTCCCCATATGTCGATTGGAAGGGAGGCCAATGGAGGGGAAGGGCTGCTTTGCTTCAGCTCTGGCCTCGCATTGCTCGCCCGACAGCAGAACCTGCAGGAGGCAGCGGCAGGCATATCCACATGGTCAGAGGGTGGTTAGTGCTTTTGCGGCTTTGGCCTCTGGACAGAAGAGGAAGAAAGGCCAATCCATGTAAACATCGCTGGTGTTGCACTGGCTTGAGCCTGCGCTTCTGCCGAAGGCCTGCAAAGGTGTACCAGTCACCGAAAGCAACGTTGTGTACTCACCATGCCTGCAAGCTCAGAAGCAGAATGGACGTACGGATGAAGCGCACAGTCTGCAGCCTTGTGACCTGCCGAACCACGACTCTGGAATTGCGGGACTATGTGGGGCTGTGATGGTTGCGGGCACTGCGGGCACTGCCTGAACTGGCTGCCCTGGTTGCGCTGCACTCGAATATACACGGCAGCTCATTGGAGCACATCTGGAGCGTGAGCCTTGCCACAACTGGCAATCAGCTCTGAAGAAAGTATCCGCTGACTCCATTGAGCTATGCTGTTTGCCAGGGGTATATGGATGTGGAATGGACGGTATGGATGTTGGGATACTTGGCCATAAAAGACCAGTCTGTGTGCGCTGTGCAGGTGGAACTCGGCGTTTCAGCTGGAAGCCGTGACCGGAGGTGCAGTTTGCCAGCATCACACGGAGTCATGTCAGAGCTGCCCTGCTACAGTAGATTCTAAGCGGCTCCATGCCTCAACTCAGAAACTCTGTCAGAATCAAAGCGCTCGTCAGCCTTCACCCGACGAAAATTCAAGCGAGAAAGCCCACGTCTATAAAGCAGACAATCTGGCCTATTTGCTCTGTCTACCCCAACCTCCAGTCAACACTGCCACCCTGGATTTTGAACGTACTGGCGCAGCAAGCTAACTTCTATGGTGGATTCTGCGTCTTTGAGCTTCGCACCAACTGAAAGGCAAGTATCCTTACTATCACCAGCGTACAGTAGCAGCACAATATTACACTTGGCGAAAAAATGGGTCCCACCCGGTTGTCGAGCTTTCCCCAGTGTATGCTAAAGACACATGGCTCTATTTGCTGCCATGCCCTTCTGGCAGGACCTTTCGTCAACCTTATGCGTCTTCATCACCGTCTGTAGCCAGCAGGGCCCCCTGGAGCAATAGAGAGATGGCAGCATCATGATTCTCTGCGGAGTCTCTCCTTGTCGCTGTCCTTGTCGCCCTTGTTCTGCTTCGCCAGGAAGTAGGCTCCAATTCCCAGCGCGGCGCAAATCAGCAGCAGGACACCGCCGATCCTGGCAGGAGACTCGAGAGTCAGGAAATGGCGGCTGGATGTGGGCTCCAAGACGTCGCCAGAGAGGCAGAGGTCGCATGACGAGCCAAACGATGCCCAGCACAAGCAGCCCGCACGAGCAGCCGAAGCAGCAGGACACAACGCAAAGCACCGCGTCCACGACACCTCAGTTGTGGGGTGCTCGGAGTAAGGGCGAGTGCTGGAATCTCAGAACGCGGCCCTCGAGCATGTCCTGCAGGCAGCCGCCAACGCAGGGAATCAAGTTGAGACCTGCCACAAGCCACAAGCCCATGCCAATGACGCCAATCCCCAATCCTGGAGACACGAAGGGACATCAACAAGTCTTATGTGCTGACGTACGAAGTCACGAAGTCCGCGCTGCAGATCAAACGCACGGTCACAAGATACGTAATCGCGTCTTGGAGAGTTCGTCCATCCCCGATTTGCCCTGTTTTCGCACGATTTGCTGGATGGCTTCTAGTCTCACTGCGGGACTGAACACGGTGTTGAAGTTCTGACTGTGTCCTGATGCTGCGGAAAGCGCCGACAACACCATAACCCTGAGGGCCCAGGCAATCCCCAACACCATCAGCTGCAGTAGAAATGGGCTGGAAGCAGCACCACCTGTCAGAGCAAGATTTTGCCTAGAACCGCCTCGCTGTTGATCTACAACTCGCCGGGGCTGCACTGTAATCCAAGCAAAGCAGAGGCCCACGAATCGCAGCATCCAGGTAGCCGTCTTGGTGATGCGATGCCAAGAAGACGAAAACGGAAATGCGGCAAACCGATGAACACAATGTTCTTGGTTTCTTGCAGTATTGGCTTCTTCAAGGGATGTCGAAAAAGCTTGCAGAGATTGCACTCCTCCCACCCTGAGTGCGCAGTGTACAGGCCCTAAAGGCCGACATCTCAAGACTTGGCCGAGGCTTCAGCAAGGCATCGTACTGGTCTGCGGAGCAGCCTGAGCCCGGAGAGCCCGGAGAGCCCGGAGCTGAGAACCCCGTGGGAAAAGCGGCGCTTTTGCCAATGGCCCCGGTCGGTTCATGTCACTGGGCTGAGACAGGCGTGTCGTTAGAAACTTGCAGAGAAGCGTTTTGCCACTTCGGAATACGATTTAACTTGAGCAGCAGGCCCCAGCTGGCAGGGATGTCAATCGGTGTAGTTTGACCTTCCGGTACACACTGTACTTGATCTGCGCTCGATCCCGGCAATCCGCTGCCTCCTTGCACAGCACTGATGACAGATGCTCCGGTGTCCCAGTTCTTGTAGTAGCTGAGACGCATGCATCCAATCCTGGCGAAATAGCACAGCACAGCTCGGCGATCTCATCATAATCTGCTGGAAGTGGGCTCCCCGCGTCTGGGCACTGCACGTGACGACATAGGATCCCGTGGGACCAACGGCCTTTAACTTTATGTATCGAATGGCATGATGCTGAAAATGCAGCTGCAGCACATGCAATCGAAGTGGCCGTGTTGTGCGGCGTGATGGATGCATATCCATGTGCCGGTGGGCCTTGACTTATGTCCACGACCATGCCACAACACGTTTGTGCGTGCACACACGCACAGAGACATTTGCTGAGCCACTGACCTGTCAATGTGTGTGCAGCTTTGAACTTGTGGGCAAAGCTGTGCAACGAAATGGGGTTGCTCATATCTGGATGCATCCTGGGAAAGTCGTATACCTATGAAACCGCACGAGCCACCAGAGAAAACTAAGCTGCACGCCCACCATAGCCAGATCCACCACCTGCAATCTGCACGCACTTGCGGACAGCGACTGCCAGGTCTGTCTTGCAGGCACTCTGAAATGGATTGGAGGCGTACTTGTCAACCTCCTCCCGAGATTAGGAGCAAGTATGCACTTGGGAGAGGAGGGCTGGAGGACGTTACAACACGAGTCTTGACATCGCCACTGTAGATTTTGTGCTTGCGCCTTGGATGAGGTCTTTGCTCACAGTCAGTGGTCCCACCTGGACCGAGTGTGCCTCGCAACGTCTATTGTTTCTCGGCAAGCGTGGACTGTGAAGACCAGGAGCCCAGCTGCGGCACTCTGCACACGTTGAGGAACATCGTGTGGCCACGGAGGGTTGCCTCTGGCATGGAACATCCGTTACTCACGGGTCTTCGAAACTTTGATTGAGGCGGGCACTCAAGAATCCCGGACAACCATGCTGTCTCGCCAGGTGGGCTTGGTGCCTCGCCAGTCGGAAGGCGGGTTGTGGCAGCAGCGGTAGAACAAAGGAAAGGCACAAACATGCCGGGTATGCATTTGCGAAAACGTGCTGGAGTCAACGTAGGAATCTCGCCACTCCATGTGATAGCTGTAGATCTTGCAGGCTCAGCGGGTTTTGCTGCCCTGGAAATATCGGATCTCATGCCTTGATCTTCGTCTTGTCCTTCTGGGTCTCAGTTCTGACCGACTCCACCTGACTATAAGAGGCCATATTTGATCCTGAGAACAGAAGCAAACAAGCAGGTTCATTCCGCTACAAAGCGCTTGACGGTCTGGAGAGGGAACGATTAGCAAAACGTCTGCAGGAAAGGGGATGGGGCGCTCAACGGCTGCATCTGAAGCGAACTATCTGGGCAGATGGAGTACCGGCTGTGACTGTAACAGTTTACGGTCTTCCGCCAAGCTGAAGCTGTGAGCAACCATGCCAGAGCCACGCACTGGAACATCTCGGCTTTCTGTGCTCCAGCGACTGACCTGTCATAAAGCAGTTCGGGAGAACACGGAACCTGACAAGAATGGCGAGTCCGCCTGAACTGTATGGAACTCCCCAAGGATGCCGAGCCAAATGATGCTGGGGTGAATTGCATGAGACTCTCCTGCAGGTCACAGAGCAGAGATCGCAGAGATCGCAGATCCAATGGTGCATCATGAGTCAGAACGGCGATGGTCTCCAGCCTGCTTGATAGGACAGGATACGTACGCGACCATGTCCTCGTTACATCGCGTGTAGAAAGATGACCGGTTTGACTTTGAGGCTCGTGCCGGCATCCAGTGTGGTTGGGCATCACAGTTCAAGACCTCTACACATCTCAGTGGATCTGCAATGTCCAGTTACCTGCTCTGGACATGCAATCGACAAGTTGCCTCGGCTCTTTTGGATGCATACAAGATGTTCTTGTGAACACACATGTAGCTCTTCTCGTTGTACCTGCATGATGCCCAGATGCCCAGGACAGATCCAAAACTCGGCCATGCCCCGCAACCCCGCACAAAGGGCAACCCGCGGCACCCGATAAGGAGGAGTGCGCATGGGAACAGGGCCATGCCGAGGCACATTGTGCTGAAGGAGCCCTGGCAAAAGTCCCACAGTCAGCTGCCTCGCGCTGAATCTCTGCAGGATGGCACATCAAACCAAACAGGCAAGCAATTCCGACATCTTGGCCATGAAGGAAGGCTCTCCTGGCACGCCCATGAGAAGGACTGTCTGCTACAAACCACCCTCAACTAGAATCAAAACTCAGAGAGCATGCCATCACCTGCGATGTGGTTGCCTACGATTGCATAAGCTTCGACCGTCTAGAAACACTCAGGATGCAACCTTGATGTCTACACAGCACACGAACAACCTCGAACACGAAATGTGTGTCCAAATGCTTGAGATAGAGGTTCACGACGGCCTCCTTGGTCGTCCGCCATTTTTCAGCGGCGATATGCCTCAGGCCATAGCATGGCATAGCATAGCACAAGGACACGTGACAGAAACCCGAGATGATCTCCGGGAGCCGGAGCCGGAGCCGGCCTCAGCCTTCAGGAAGAGGCGCCAAAGAAGGCACCTTTTCTGTTTTGCAGGGCACTCTGCGTCGCTTACACAAATCGCTCCAGACAAGTCTTACATTCAGAGAAAGCCCTGTTTCGTTATAGCTTGTAGTGACCGCGTTCTAGCTGTTGCTGAGGATTGAGTTTGGGCCTTGTGGTTTCCGTAGCAAGACCTACAACGCAGGCAAGATGACCTTTCATCTACAAGGCTGGATTCACCGAGCACTTCGAAGAACTCCCAAACACAAGCACCAAGTGCAAGCCAGTAACTTCGTGCCGTGGAGAGCGCCTCTATCCCTCTATCACTTGCGTATGACAAAGATCACATCTGAGCAGAGAAACTGCAGGGCCGGCCAAGTGCGCATGCTCTTTCAATGCTTCCCATTCAGCAATGCACTGCTTATATGTCCCAGACAAAAGTAGCTTGTCAGACGGACTTCGTGAACTAAAGTTGGTCGACGTGCTTCCGGCTGAAACACCTGGGCCTGGGGCTACTTAGCAGGTCCTCATGGTGAGGGTTTCGCATATGGATGTTGCTTTCTGGCAACCTGGGCGGACACGCAAAACGATCAGAAACCATGTTCTGCGCGGATCTCCACCACGAAGTTGCACGAAGAGCTTCCATCGCATGTGGCCACAATTCATGACCCTTGGTGTTGAAGGCAAACAGTTGGACCCGTGGAAAGATCTCAAGTACTCTGCTCAACTGGAAGCTGCAATAAGCTTCAAAACCTTGCTGAAAATCGGAGCGCCACTGCAAGCAGCCTATTTTTCCATGTTGAGCTGGCACGCTCGCAGACGAGTCTTTAAAGGTAAGACCTGCCGAATAACACATTGCCTCGCAGCTGCGATAAAGGAAAGCATTGTCACAGACTTGTGCCCACGTTTCAAGGCCGTCCATGTTATCAGGGTGAGTCATTGTCATACATCTCCTTGAGTTGGACTGACTGGTCGCTGATGTCTTTGTTTGCCTGTCTGCCAGAAATGTAACATCATTACTATTCGTGCAACAAGATATGTGGCCTTGTGCTGATGTGCCACTGCAAAGGCGCAGATTCCCAGCACCACGCAAACTAGCAGCAGACCGCCACCAATCCTGGCACAGGTGAAAGCACTTTTCAGCGCGTGCTTTTTCTTTGCCTAAAACAGTGCCGGCCAGGCAAAGGTCTCATGAAGAGCCACACGATGCCGATCACGAGCAGCCCACACGAGCAGCCAACACCGCAGGACACCATGCAGAGAAGGGTGTCAACCATACCTGACTCATCAATGCGACCAGCGCCCAGCAGCAACACTGCAGCAGAGCATGCACCGAACGAAGCGTGGCTCTGCACATGCTGGAGGCCAACGTGTGTAGGCTCTCGTCGCCAGGTCTCTTCAACGATAGATACACACTAGATATTAGATACTTCCAAAGCAAAATCAACACCATTGAAGATGAAGTGGGAAAAGTACACGTATGTTCTGTCAGACACTGGGAAATGGCAGACCACCAAATGGCCACGGCTTTTCGTGCAGCCAGTGCAGCATCGTGCCTTCCAGCAAATCCTCCATGAACTCCCCAACGCATGGGATGTATGCAAGACCTGCAACCCATGACACAGGGTGACAGACAAGAAGAATCACGGCTTTCTAAGGAGCACACAATCACCTACAATGTCTGCAGCGGCGGCTATTGGCCTCAGCTACGTGCACGGCATGTCGAAGCTGATGGGCAAGACCAGCTTGTCTGACATTTCCTGGCCAAGATTGCGGCTGAAAGCAGCAATACCTGGCAGTGCAAGACAAAAGAAAACTAGGCAGTCGTCGTCAACAACAACAACGGAAGGCCGGGTCGACACCGTCAACCAGGTGAAGACGAGGCCCAAGACGCGCAAGAACCAGGTGCGGGTCTCGATAGATCGACTTTATCAACTTTCATTCTTTCAATCACATTGTTCCGAGTGCAGCACAGCATTTGCATCTTCAAGCTGCGCACTGAAGCTTGCCAGGCTCATGGAACCAGCGCTCCTGTTTCTGAGTCTGAGCAGCTTGGTTGCTTTGCGACTATGTCTGAGGCAAAGGCAAGGCATCAAAGGAGCTCGTAGAACAGCCTCGTCTGCAAGCCCACTAGAGTCACTGCGGCAAACGGAACCTGCCTGGGAGACGACGGCAACAAGAACGGAACTTGGACCCACACCCCAGCTTGCTGGAACTTGCATTGGCACGGTATAGCCTCCGCATGCTTGCTGCTCGTCCAGGATTCATGCTCCACGTCTGACGTGCGTCTGATGCTGCCACAACACCTCCTTCAATCTTGCTGATCAGGGAGACAGATGCATCCCAGTTCTTGAAATACCGGATCTGCATGCATCCGACCCTGCACCACGGTTGCACAGAATCTTTGCTACATGTCGCAGCAGACAACATGTCACAAGCACCAGGAAACGGAGCAACTGTCGAGATGGGTTTCTTCCCAAAAAACGGCAAAAAGGGCGGGTGCCTTGGTTGAGAACATGTGACAATCTTTGTGCCTGAAGCATCAACCGCCTTGGTCAAATGTGCACAAGTAAAACCGCTGTGCCAGCGGTGCTGTCTGCTCACAGCTCCGCAAAAGCTGCCGGCTGCTGTGCGTGGTGTGACGGAGGAGAATCCTCCACCTCCCCAAACTCAACAAAGGTGAATCCGCAGCACATGTGCATGCTGTGGAAAAGCCACAATCTGTGACCCTAACGCGGAGGCATGATCGGCAGCATGTGGATAGGAAGGAAACTGTTGGCGAAGCTGGAAAGCTGTACGGGCCGATCCATGTTGGGCGCCAGCCTCCGGCATTGCAACTTGAAGATGACAGAATAACCGTCGTGCAGAGCTCCGGTGCTAAGGTAGGCACCCAGAAAACTGGCTGTTGCCTCCTTGGGGCTGCACCGCTTTCTTGGCAACACAAAGGCAACAAACTTTGATTCCTTCATGGGCGTCCTTTGAGCAAGCTCTTGCTGACAGTTACTGGACCCGCGCGGATCGATTCTGCCTAGGCCAGAATTCGCTGTCTGTATAATGAGCCTATACCTGTAGATCTATATCTACATATAAATCTAAATAGCTATATGTATATATATATACCTACATACCTATACATCTATATATTTTTGTATTTATATGTCTATACTCTTATATATCTATATATCCATATATCTTTATATATATATATCTATATATCTACATATCTATATGTATGTATAAACCGATAAGTATGTATATCCGTATATGTAACGAACATCTAACATATATCTATACATCTATGCATATCTACATATATCTATATACTATATGTCTATATATCTGTATATCTATATATCTATATATCTATATATCTATATATCTATATATCTATATATCTATATATCTATATATCTATAAATCTATATATCTATATATCTATATCTATACATATATGTATATCTATACATATACAT